GGGTGATGTCTGAGAGGCGGAAGTCAAAAATCGCAAGTGAGGCATATGAAAGATGCTTTGATTTTAGTAACCAAACTATTTATGAATTGATACCATGTTTATAAAATCTCATGACATGTAACGACATGTAGACACTCAGGAAATGTTTTCCCAATTTCGATTCCCCTTTCCTTGATCTTATCCCCTTTTTGTATCAGCAGGTCGTTTTTGTGCGAGATGTCATTTTAAAGACGCATTTAACAAAACCTGTGACTGTTTTGCTTAAAGATTTTTCTGCCGCTTGATGGAAGCAGTTTGCATTATAACAACAAAAGAAATGCCCTTTAAACTTTGATTTACTTTGTTTCCGGATAGATTTTGTTAGAAAAGAGGAGCATAATCACAGAAATACCTTAAACTGTAGGACTAGCAGCTTTAAATACAAATGAAAGGCAGGCCGCCGCACACTCATTGCAAATGTAATTTCGCTAAGCCCATGTTCCTATTCTACCTTGACTTCCGGTTTGACAAAATTCCGAGCATGCGTGCTTGCATGTTATTGGTTCGTACTCGTGGCAATATGGCGGAAGGCGAAGGTAGCAGCGATATTGTGGAAAGTTCTCATGATTTAACCATTACTGACGACCAGAACGCCTCTGTGGAGACCGAAGGAGTTTCAGAAACAGGAGCTAAAGAACTACCATATAATTATGGATTTTCCTTACCGGAATATTACAAACTTTGCCTACAGTATTATCACAAAGGTAGGTCAGTAGCGCAGTTTATCTCTGCTTATCTGGACATTCTTATACATTTTGTATTTGTTTGGGTTGCTCTGATTTTTCTAATGGTGCATTCTGTATTATTCTTTTTCGTGATAATAACCAAATGAAGAAGTTTATTTGAATAATTCCTTGTTTTTGTTGAAGATATGTTCTCGTCTTTCCGGTAATCTACATGCCTGCATGTGCACTCAGTTTCCCGAAGCTAACTAGTACATCTTTGAGGTTACTTTTCTCGTGTCCCTTCACTGATCAGACAAAAGTTAACAAAGCTGGAGGACTGCATAGATTTGTTATATCTTTGTCCTAGCTTTTGCTGCTTTTTGAAACCATCTAAATTTGGCGAAAGTTTTCTGGGATGTTGTCCTTGTAAGGGCTCTGGAAAAAAAAACATTTGCCTTGATTGAGAGTTTGGATAATGTTATTTTGTTTTGCATATCAGAAGAAGACCTTTTTGTGAACGCTCTTGCCAGTCTTCAGCACAGCTGGTGTGGTCATTTCCCATAGACAAAGAAATGTATAATATTATCTGTTGATTTTGTACAAATTTTGAACAATTGCAGTCAGCAATTTAATAAGTAGATTCAATTTTCCCGTGTGTTTATTCAGTAGTAAGTCGCAAAATGTGGTAAGAACAAAAAGTAGCACAGGAGGTGGAACTGAGTGTCATTGATTTTCTAATCACATTTTGACATCTTTATTTGTGCATGAAAAAATTTATCTTGTATTTGTGCAGTTCAACTTGTTTTGTGCATTTGATCCATCACGTGCTCTGCAGAAAAGGATCTGATTGTCACTGATTTTCTTGCCACATTTTGACATCTCTATTTGTCCATGAAAAAATGTATCTTATGTTTGTGCAGTTCAACTTATTTTGTGCATTTGATCCATTGCTTGCTCTGCAGAAAAGCAGATAATAAAGCTTACTTATGATGACAAAGTTCAGCTGACTGCATATTGGAAACAAATATCAAGTGGAGCTTTTGATCCTGAAAAGTACCCTGATGTAGGATATTTTGATGTTATTGGTAATGACAGAAGGTAAATATGTTAACCAAATAACTAACTAAATAAATGAATATCCAAAAAGATAAATGATATATAAAGGAGAATAAGAATTGAATTTAAGCGGTAGCACCTTCACAAGGTGGCTTGTCGTGCTCTGTTGTTCAGATCTTACTGAAATTCTGAACGTGGACTTTTGAAGAGGTAGGAAATCCTGGGAGTTTGGGGAAAATCCTAGCAGCCTAGACAAGAAACTGTATGTACAAAAAAATTAAACCCACATATGATGCAATACCTGGAATTGAAGATAGGACAAATTGGTTGGAAGCAAGCATTCTAGCCAACTTTGCTCGCCTGCTTCCTGACAAATTCTATGTTTCTTTCAGTGTAGCATTAATGAAATTCAAGTCAGTCCTGAATCCCTTTGACTCCCAAAGTGATTAACATGTAACTTCTCTTTGCAACATCCATGCATTATCCAGAAAACAGGTACTGGGAACACTCAAACTTATCAGCTAAAAGTCATTGTTTCGATCTAACACCATATTCTCGTTACCAATTTACAAAGAAATGTATAGCAGCTAGAGTGGAGAATTAACAATCAGATCTTGGAAGTTACAATGTAAAGGGTTAACTCCAATTATCGCGTACTTAATTTTCTCTTTGTGCCACCCTATGTTTCTTTAATCTATAAGACACCTTCAGGGCTCACTGTTTTCTCTTTATCAGGAGAGCATGGGAGAGCCTTGGTAACATGGAACCCAGAGAAGCCATGAAGAAGTTCTGTACGTTATTAGGAACCTGTTCACCTGAGCTAGCTCCTTGGATGGAAGCGCAGCAAAAAGAAAAAGAAGAAAAGGAGAGAATGAGGAGGGAGGAAGAGGAAAGACTACGAAGGGAAGCAGAGGAGGCTGCTGAAAGAGAGAGGCAGAGACTGTTGGAAGAGGAAATGAGGAGAAAAGCGGAAGAAGAAGAGGAAAGGTAAACAGTGATGTTACTTGGTTTGTGAATTATATGAACCTCTTGTCGTGTCTTATTTGTATCTGCCCACTAAAATATTTTAAGAACGTAGCACATGAATTCCAGCAATGCGAGTTCCAGCAAATTCACGTGCATGTGACCTATTTTGTTCCTTTTTTTTATGAATACATACTTTGGAACTCTAGTTTCAGAAGGTTAGTATCTAAGTTAGTTTTGTAAAGTTCGCGAAGGGTTTTTGCAAAAGATTCAGAGAATTTTGAAGCGACGTGGAGCAACATAGGTAGAGAGGCTAATTTACGACGCTGAGGAACTCTGAAGAAAAAGGGAATTAAATGTGGGGTTTACACCTCTTACCAACCAAATTCCAGGTCTTTGCTTTAAGTTACAGACTAAAATTTTTTCCGCTCAGAATGTTTGGGCCTTAATCTGAGCGGAAAAAAACGAGGTTCCATAACTTACAGTATGGACTGAGAAAACCAGGTTAATACAGTCAAACCTGTAGTAAGCGGCATCGTATTGAACAGTCACATTGTATTTAGTGGTTGATTTCCAAAGTCTAGAATTTTCCCCCAGTTACAGTAATTTTCATCTCTATTGAGCAGTCCTGGTCACTGTTTACTGAGTCCCAATGACCTGTTTGAATTTACTCCCACCTGTATTGAAGGATCACTAAGAGCGAAACCACTCAAGCAAAATTAAGAATAATCTTTCAAGTGAAAATAAAATCCATGTTTATTTCCCAAAATCAATCTTAGAAGTATTTTTGAGCAAGTTTTTGTACATTCAGAGGTCAATTGTGGCATAAAATGGCATCTTTTATCAGTATTTAAAACAGCCCTATTCTGTGGAACCCGTTTTAAGGGGTCAACTTGTATTAAGCGGATCAAAGTTAATGTGCTTTTATCACATTCAGGAGAAAACAAGAAATAATTGTGAAGCAGCAGCAAGAGGCGCAGTTCTTACAACAACAGCAACAACAAATGTTAAAACAGCAGCAGAAACAACAACAACAACAACAACAACAACAACAACAGACACCAGATCCACAGGTAAGTCAGCTCAGTTACAGCTTTAGCCTTTTACACCCAAACATCAGCATATCAGTCAGGGTTGTAGCTAAGAAATTACGCTGCTGGCTAAAATTTCAAGTGTGGTGGCTCGACGGTGGTGAATGATTGTAAGTGTGTAACTTCAGAAGTGCCTGTTGTGCTCTACCAAGTGTTTGCCAGCCATAGATCCAGCTGGCAATTGCCACTTTTCATCTGGCAAAGTTTTGTGGAGGCTGGCACTTAGGGACAACCCTGGCATATTCTCCATACTGTAACTTGCAAAGGACTTGCATCTAAGAAAGGAAGAATAGACATTTTTTTAGCAATTCCGCTCCCAAGATCTCTTTAGTAATTCTCCTTCTGTCTGGCACACAATTCTTATGAGTGTGGAGAATTTGGTATTGAATCAACTAATATTCCTCTAGATGACATTTTTCTTTATTCTCATCACTTGTCTGCTTGATGTTGCCTTGATGTTGTCAGGAGAAATTTTGTCTTCCGCTTGTGGGAGTTAGAGGGTTTATCACGTCCTGTTGAACGTATAGAGGTTTTGCATGGCAGCCATGTTGCACGGCAGCCATGTTGCACGGCAGCCATGTTGCACGGCAGCCATGTTGCATGGCAGCCTTGTTGCATGGCAGGAACAATAGATTATTTTTCCCATGGGAAAAAAATTTCTTTCCTTTGCAAAATATTTTCATTGTTCCTGCCATGCAACATGGCTGCCGTGCAAAACCTCTATTGGGACGAGATCCTGTCATTTCATTTTTATGCTCTGATGACAACTGGTAATTTGACTGTCCCTTTGCATCTGAAGTACAAACTACGTGTAGGCAGGAGGATACAGGTCCAAATGTTATATGCCTGGAGTTATTAGTAAACATTTTTATTGTTTGATTCATTATACTGGTTTAAAATTTTTAATACAAATCATGATTTTTTGTTTTTGTTTTTGTTTTTGTTTTTGTCAAGCCCAAGACAGTGGCAGTGAATGGCACACCAAGGATAACGCCCCCTTCCTTATGGACGCGTCCTAAAGTCCAAGAGTTTATTCAACATCTCAAGTCTGATCCTACCTCCGTGTTAGTCGTTGGACGTGGAGAGACAATGACAGTTCGTGTACCTACACATGAAGGGGGTAGGTGTTGTGAAACTGTCTACATTAACCATAACAAAAATGATTAAATGGGGGAAAACAGTTATTTCTCAGCTATCTTGGCAAGATTTCTGTATGGGCCCTATACAGAAATCTGTATTGTTTTGTAAAGAAATCAGTAGAAGTGCTTTGTTTTGTTTTAGAAAAGGAAGAGGTTGTAGGGAAATCTTTCCCACACAGTTGACTCGGTCGGTTACTGTAAGGAGTCTAACGAGTTCGCGAGCACAGATGTTAGATGATCGTTTTGGGTATTCTAAGCTCTGAAATATCATACAGTGCTTTCAAATTATGTTCTGTTTTAATTCTAAATGAAGCTTACAGATCAACTGCACATTACAGGGCCAGTGAGGTCTACCATGTCGGCGTGCTTTGAAAAACGAAACGGAACGCAAACAGATGTATTGCGATTCGATGAGAGGCAAATGAGTGGTCCTGTTTTCTGTAGTATTATTTAGTTTACTACATCGTAAAACTCATTTATTTTAAGACGTAGCTAATTGAAAATACTGTTTGGCTGTCCTTTATTCTTAGGAACATGTGTATTTTGGGAATTTGCCACTGAGTTTTACGATCTAGGCTTTGGAGTCTGCTTTGAATGGTCGCAGCCGCAAACCAAGAACATCACAGTCGCGGTGAACGAATCGGACGACGACGAATTCGGAGAGGAGGACAAATCGGCTGAAAACGAGTCCAGTCCGCCCAAACCGAGAGTAGACGAAGTACTTCCTGTCGTACGGAGGCCTTGTAACGAGGAAGTGATTATTGGAAGTCACTTGTACCCAGGCCGCGGCGTGTATCTTCTCAAGTTTGATAATTCGTATTCCTTGTTTAGGTCAAAGACTTTGTATTATCGGGTTTACTACACCCGGTAATGCAGGATTGGAGACAGACACTTTCGCGAGAGAGGCTGAACGGAATTCACAATTGTATCTAATTTCAGGAAGCAGGAATATTTTAAAGAAAATTTCAAATTATAACCATTATAATATATCACGCTACTCTTAAATTAGGTGCGAATTAATTCAACCATCCCTCACGTTTTTGTGAAGAGAGTCGGTAGATGAGTATGTTATGAAACAGAAAATTGTATAGTTATATTTACAGTGTTTCATGGTTTGAGATTGTAGTCCAGGGCACAGTTGTTTAAACGGCAGATAACAGTCATCTGTCGGATAAAACGTACTGCGCTCTTCACCTGACAAAGATTTACCCAGTGGATGTTGTTATCCACCCTTGGGAAAACTGGAGCCAGTTAGGAATAGCAGTGTGACAGGCAATGGAGACGACAGACTTTCGTATTCTCTTGCGAGTTTTTGATCAAACAATTATTCTGTTTTTCTTTTTTTCGAAAATTATTTTGAAAATGATCGCTTTGTTTCCCAACGAAAAACTTACAATAAGGGAAGAAACTTTTAAGTTTGAAAATTTGATCAAAACGCGATGTGTTCAATTTGGATTAAAAGCATAGAGATATGTAATTTTAAAAATTTGATTAACACACGAGGTGTTTATTTTGGATTAAAAGCATCGAAATATGTAACCTGATATCAGGTTACAGCGCCATTTAGTTAGTTTGCTTGTCTGCTTTTGTTGTTCTCGTTGTTGCTTTTTTTAACGGCTCGAATGGGAGAAAAGCTCTCTCGAAAAGAAGAGAAAAGCTCGGTTTGGATTTCAAACGGGCAATGTTTAAATTATTAGTATCGGGTGGGCTTCTCTCTCGTGATGACACTTGGCGCGTTGAAGGAGTCAATATTTCACGTCGCACCAATCAGCCGGTTGCTTTTTATAGGAATTTTATTGAAAGGGGATTGCATTAGAAAATAAACGTGAAATAAAAGGAAAGATTGAAATAGAGGGAGAAAGACACGTTGAGCTGACTTCAGTTTGGGGGTCTGCCAGAGAATTATTTACCTGAGTGATGCTTCAGCTTTCTCACAATTGATTGTTATGTTTGGTGCGATATCTAGTTAATTAAAGACTGTTGAAATGAATCCTCAATCATAAGTAAAAATAAGCTTCAAAATTAATAAATGATTGAATATTTCTCAAAAAGTGGACTTTGGCCTCTTCTAAGAAAAATTACCCCACGAGCCTCCTGACCCGTTTTGTACCCACCCAACCACCCTCCCAAAAAAAAAAACAAACAAAAAACAAAAAACAAAAAAGCAATGTTGTATCGTGATATTCCATGAACATTTGGCTAACATTGAATGGAGGGGAGAGGGGG